CGGGACATTTGGGCAACAGCCTCGAACCCGTGAATCACTTCAAGACTTCAAGACAACTGAGACGTGAAGAAAACGTGTAGAACTGCAGTATAAAACACTCGCAGTATAGGGGCCGGAACGTGCTTACTACCGGAGGAAATCTGGACGCTCGATTGGCCGTGGCCATCTCCTGTCCTGTGCAAACTGACTGACTGACTAACTGAACTGAATCGCCCCCGGAAGTGCGCGAAGGTGAATTCTTACGCTACGTTTGCGTTACCCCCGCAGTTGATCGAGTTCCAAATGAGCAGCTTGAAGAAGTTTTTTGGCTCGAAGAAGTCCTCCACGAATACCACAAAAGATGCTGTTCACAAATTGGAAGATACACGAGACTTATTGGTGAAAAAGTCTGAGTATCTAGAAAAGAAAATCGAAGAATGTATTGCAGCCGCAAAGAAATATGGAATGAAAAACAAAAGAGGTTTTCCCTGTGTTTGTATCTTCTTACATTATTAGCTGCCCTCAGGGCTCTTGCACAAAAGAAGGAGTACGAGAAACAGCTCACTCGGATGGACAATACATTGAGCATAATCGAAAATCAGCTTCAAACACTTGACAATGCGGGCACAAACCTCGAAGTATTCAAGGTTCTTAAAGCTACTGCTGGAAGCCTTAAAGATGCACATAAAAACATGTAAAGCGATTTCATTTTTCCTTGAAAAGAATCTTTCAGGAATATAGACGACGTTCAAAACATTATGGACGATATAATGGAACAACGGGACATTGCCCAGGACATCTCAGACGCCATCTCCAACCCTGCTACCTTCGGCTTAGATATTGATGAAGATGAACTTCTTGCCGAACTTGAGGGATTACAGGTAATTGCATTGTTCATGAACTGGTGCAATATATGGGGTAATCTGAATTCTAAAGTTTTTACACTTCACTTTCTCTTTGGATATCATTCGCAGAGTGGTTCACATTTAATAATGCCACGATCGAGACCTTAGAGTCTTACGATAACATTACGGATGTTCTTAGAGTCTCAGATGCAAGGCTTGTTTCACTTTTTAAATTCATGACTACTCCGTTAGGAAACTGGTCACATGAGCACTGGAACGTAGATGGGGTAACTACGACGCCTCGATAAGATAATGCCAATGTGCTGTAAAACCGGCATACAGTTATCCAGAAGCCAAACAGAAGCATGGACTTGTCTTCAAACCAAACAACAGCGAGGTTGCTCATCTATTTTCACGTGGGGATTCTGTATCAATAGTTAAGTAATATTAAAAATTATGGTTTCATTTCGGTGTGAGTTCTCCTCATACAGCGCAGTTAGTCTTGATGTTCACCTCATAACTCCATGGATCGTTTGGCTGACAGTACCAGACAGATTATGTATACTTACAAAGTTCTGACATTAGGCTGAATCATTTATGGCTTCGATGAAGCATTTAGCTCATTTTGAAATATCTGACCTGAGCTATTAAGCGTGCCATGTGCTTCATCATAGTCCTTTATGCAGTGTTGAGAATGAAATAGTAGTATGATTTGAATCTAACAGCTGAAGATCTGTGTATTGGATAGCAGTAGCTTTTTGTAGGGCGCCTGTTTGACCAGTGTTTCCATTTAAAGCCGATTGGAGCAGCGATCCATGCTCGAAAGTTTACCGTGTTATCGCCAATTCTTTTTATTTATTACACAATGAATTACAATAAACAGGGAACTCTCCATGGACAAATAGCATTCTGTGAAAGGGAGAGTGTGGGAACATCCGCGTAACATTCAGTGTATTGATTCTGCGTTTAAAAAGTGTAAGATTGCTCCTTTTCTTCGTACAATCATAGTCACTACATGTTCCACAGCTTGGCAGTTCGGGAAAAAGATTAGAGCAGAGAAGTACGGCACCTGTGAACAGAAATCTGATAAAGATGTCTAGATGCTTGTGTATGGGACGGGCGGATAAAAGTTGCAAGGAAAGGAACTGCCGAGGTGAGTTCCGAAGAACAAAAATCAAAGTAATAGCGGTAGAACAGGGACAATGAAGCAACTGCCCGACGATGAACTAGCGACTGCAGACTGGATGTTAGGGAAGGATCATCGATTAGCCGGATGGCCTTTCGTTGAACACCATCAAGAAGGGAAAGGCAAAAAGACGAAGCCCTACCCCACATGTGACAACAGTATTCAAGAGCTAGGTGGATTTGAGCTTTGTACAATAGGAGATGAGCTAGGGTGAAAAAACATCTGGCTCGAAATAGAAATCCAACCTTGCGTACGGCACGAGAAGCAAGCTTAGCTATAAATGGGGACCAACATAAAGAAGTTATAGGCAATCAACGAAGGAAAACAGTCTGTGGAACGCAGTTGGATGGAAATAAAAGATACATGGGGGAGAATGAGTGGTGTTTTAAAGAAATTGAAAGATGAGAGGTTTACGAATTATTGAATTTGACGTGGTTTGCAATGCCCCAGAAGGAGATGTGTTTGGGGTCGGAGTCCAGTGACACATTAACTGCACTACGGTCACTACCGATGTTGTTTTGGGCATGGCGAGCAGTGCGGTAGGAGAGGGGGCAGTGGAGGGTGGTGTCATCAGTGAAAGAATGGACCGGTTTAGTAGTTTGAGAAACGAGATCATTATAAATAGGAAGAGTGTGGGCAAGTACTGAACCTTGGGGAGCACCAGCGTTCACAGGGAATGGCTAAGATAGAATCCCATCAACTCGGACGGAGATGGTTTGTTTACTGCGGAAACATGATATCCACGCTACTAGCGCTGGAGGGAACCCGAACATGGGTAGTTTCGTCAGTAGACCTTCGTGCCAAACTCGGTCGAAGGCCCTTGAGATGTCAAGCGGGAACAAGTGTGTTTCCCCGTGGTTATCGAGTGGAGCTGACCAGGATTGTGAGACAAGAGCCAGGTCACCGGTGGAACGTCGCGGTCGAAAGCCACACTGGCGATCGCTCAGTTTGTTTGCTTTTATTGACTCACTGCGCATTCAGTCATGATATCGGAGCCATGTTGCATTCTGTTACCAGTTACCGTTGTTTTGAAAAAAGAGTTATATATATATATATATGTATATTTGACACGCAGT